TTAAGGCGACGGATGGGAAATCATCACTAGTCAAAGAATACTATTATTTTCTTCTTAGAAAAATAGTTAGATATTCACATGTATATAAAATAAAGGAGTTTGGTCAATAATATCAAGGAATAAAAGGTGAAGTATTTACTGATAACTTTTTCTTTTTGAGTTCTGTCAGAACTTAGATTCTTTCAGTTGAAGCTTTGTTCATGAATCAAAAGGACCAGAGTCGACATTTGGATTGTTTTATGTATATATCTCGAGTTATAGAAATGTTTTATTTTCCAAACATGGTCAGCACATTGTTGCCATGTTCATAGTTGATATTATTGAGTGTTTTTTCTTTTTTATTAATAATATTTCCATTATTTTTAGCCTTTTTTAAATGTGGATGAGACTATTATATTAATAATGCTTCCATTATTTTTAGCCATTTTTTTAAAATGTGAATGAGATTATTATATTTGTATTATCAATGATATGTTACAGATAGTTTGATAGTTCTCCATGTGTATTTAAATGAGACATAATTGAGCTATGGTCAGACAGATGTAACATGAGTCTTTTTGTGAAGTATGTTGTAGTATATCCAATATAATTATTTACGAATTTGGATTGGTCAGATAGAGTTTGGTATCTGTAACATACTTGTTGATAATTCAATAGTAAAGTTAGAGAATAGGAGGAGGAGTCAGGTACTTCCTGAAACAATAGAATGAATTGAACATTTTTCAATAGATTATATATTTTGAACACCAGCTATGCATTTCGTTGAAACCCTAGGCTTGGACTTAAGGTAAGCCGTACATTCACTGGTTATCATGAGAAAGAAAACGGACAAACACTTGCTGCAACGTATGATGTGGCATTTATTATGACATATCAACAAAGCCGGATAACCTTATTTTCTTGAATTTCTTTTTTTTTAAGAATAGGACACTGGGACTTATATCAAGTTAAAACTTAGTGTTGTGAAAGGGTAAAATCCAAGTGTCAGCCAGGACACTTTGCCAACTACCTCCCCCTCTTATCCTTCCATTTTTTTTTTTGTCATTCTTGTATGTGTTATATGTAATAGGAGTAGGTAGGTTTTCCTACCACCCGGTCAACACTCCTCCCCCTTCTCTTGGACATGAGTCGAGGCTCACGTCTTGTTTCTTGCTTAGGAAGGGGTTCCCGGTACTCTCTCTCTGGCTTCTGTACTAGTGCAGCTCTGTTTCTCCCGTGTTGTGTGCACTCTGTGGCATTGCCTCTTCATTCTGAGGGTACACGGTTGACAGTTCTCTGGTTGCTGTTTCCAACTGGTAGTTAGGAACACTAACTCTTGCGTAGCGTCTTGAGTGGCCGCTCTGATCAACAGTTGTATAATACCGGGGTGTTTGTAGTGCCATGTCGCGCATGAAAAGGTGTCCCTGCAGTCACCTCTGGTGGGAAACCCTGAGGCCACATTATGATGCAGGCTGTGCCAACTCCTCTCTGCCTACGTCACGGTCGATAACTGTCTGCTTCTTTTACTTCAGGCCTTCTCATCTTCCAACCATAATTCCACATGATGACTTACAAAGACCGAAAAAGTAATCCTAAACCAGCCCCTCAAAAATCAGCAAAACCCCTCAACATTTTATTTTCCAACATGCGTGGCATTAGAACAAACTTCTGTAGTATGGAATATTTCCTCACTGCGAACTGCCCGGATATACTGGCACTCTGTGAGACCAACCTTGTCTTGTCTATCCCCTCCTCTGATCTCTCGATCACAGGCTACCTTCCTCTCCTCAAAAAAAAACTCTCTAATCCACATGCATGGCCTTGGTATCTACGTCAAGGACCCTTTCCCACTGGCCAGAGAGTTGTCTCTCGAATTGCCAGACCAGTTGTACATGTGTCTCCATCTATCTCTTCTCAATGCGGTAAGCTATCTCTTCTTCCTTTACCGCTCTCCATCCTCTCAAGACTGTGGGATACTCAATAGCATTTCAGACAGCATAGACAAGGCTTTCTCCCTCCACCCATTTGCTCACATATTTGTGTTTGGCGACTTTAACGCCCATCATATCAAGTGGCTTAAGAATGCTACTACTGACCACGCAGGCATTCAAACAGTTAATTTTTCAGTTTCTCAATCCCTCACGCAGATAGTTAACTTCCCCACTCATTTTGCCTTCAACCAGGAAGGTAAGGCCTCTCTTCTCGATCTGTGTTTTACCTCCATCCTCGAGTCTTGTAGCACCACGCAACTCTCTCTTGGTAACTCAGATCATGCTGTAGTATCTTTTAACATCTCCTTCAACTCCACCCCTGTAAAGAACCTCCTACCACTAGAACAGAGTATTGCTGCCATATATGGTCTGGAGCCCCTTCTGTTTGCCTCGGGGTTCTTGATAAGCTCCAGAGGTAGATATGCAATATAATTAGCCCTGTTCTGGCATCTCATCTACAGTCGCTCTCTTACAGACATATCATCGCCTCTCTCTGTCTTTTTTTACAAATACTTTCATGGTAATTGCTCCGAGGAGGTGCATTCGCTGGTTCCCAGACTTCATGAATTCAAGTGCCCTACGAGGCTGGCATCCCGCTCTCACCCTTTCACTGTCAAAACTACTAAATGTAGCCGTCTCTTCTACTCCAATAGCTTCATGTCTCACACCTCTTGCCTGTGGAACTCCCTTCCCTATTCCAGTTCCCCTGAGAGCTATAATCTCCAACTATTCAAATGTAATGTCAATCGACATCTCCAGTTGCCTTGATCTATCCACTATTCTTCTCGTCATCTTTTCCTCTATCTGATCTTGCTCCAAATCTTCTGTAACCCCTTGCGTCCTAGTGGCTTCCCGCCTTGCTTGGGGTGAAACGCTTAAAAAAAAAATATATATATATATATTATATGAGTTCAAGTTGATGTCTGAAGTGAACTTGAGACCCAATAGACAGTTAAGCATGGAGCCTTTTTGAGAGTGAATCTGTTCATCATGACTGAAGAAAACTTGGGTCTGATCTTGAGCATTAAAATGTACAGGACATGTTATTTCAGATACTTATATAACAATTCAAATCACTTGGCATATAATATACTCAAATTTCTTTACCACTTAAAAGTAGTGAACAGATAGAGTGGATTTTTGTTGAGGCACAATAACCGTGCATGGAGCCTCATTGTGAGTTCAATGGAGAAAAGTTGAGTCTGATCTAAAGCCTTAAAATATACAGGACATGGTATTCCACATATTCACACAATTCAACTGATTTGGCACATAATCTCATCATGGCTGCAGAAGACTTTGAGTCCAAGCAGTAATGATAAAACATTATATGACTGGTATTTGAGGTATTAAAAGTTAAAAGTCACTCCCCCTATATTTGACTGTTAGATATGAACAGATTGAGATAGGTAGATAGATATGAACCAGCTAAAATAGATAGATGTGAACAGATTGAGGTAGGTAGATAGATGTGAACAGATTGAGTGAGGTAGATATGAACAGAGATAGAGTGGATGCCTATTGAGACATAATAGACATTCAATACATGGAATCACATTGAGAGGGCAACCAATCATCATCACTGGAAAAAAACTTGAGGTCTCATCTAGAGCCTAAAATTTTCTTTAAGACTTCCAAAAAAGAAAAAGGAGAAATTCATTAAAATACTACTCTGTTTCTGGATCACCTCCAAACCATTCAAATATGTTGTTTTTAAATTTCCTTTTGAAGTCTGGAAACAATAAATAGATGGAGAAAATCTGCTGGGTAGGGTAGATGATCTCTATTCTCAAACCTCAAATAGTTCAAAATACCCACCATCTTACCAGTCCTGTGAACAGTTACATTGTCCTTAGCTCTTTATTCTGTTTTCTTTCACCTCCTCCTTTAATGAGCACAAATTAGGTTTGTATTCTCCATTAACTGTTTGGCCATTCTGAAGATGGTCAGTCATCAAAATACCTTGCTTATTCCCAAAAAAACGATTTTTGAGATCTCTAGAGAACCCAAATGTTGCCACATATATATTTGGACTGTGGATCATAGTGGCATAATCTTTTCTCATTACTGGTAACAAGTACTTCCCAAAAAATTATTAATGAAAAAAACAGAGAAAATCATCCAAGATGTGTCCATAGGGACAACCCTAGGGTTGCTGGCATTGCGAGTAAGCTGAACTTCAGCATCCTTACAAGTATAATTTTTTAAAATTTTCACAAAGAGAAAAACTGAAAATGTAGAATAATGAGTTTATTCGATATAAAACTTAATACACACAAAAGAAAACATTTCTTGTCCTACCTAAAGCATTTTTCTTGTCATTAGATATGAAAATTGTTTCATTACACTTTCTACACTATCTTTTCAAAAGATCATTTTCTATTGACAAAATAACCAAAGAATTTAAACTATCTTGAGTCATGGACGACAGCAAGTATTTTTTTTAATAATCTTTAGTTTTGGAAGATATGCCATGATATGGCAGCATGCTAGCTCCCTCAGCCATGACTGCCTGAGTTTCCAGTACTTTGAGCCAGCCTTGAGTGTTCACAAAGTATCATTTCTGGTCAGCATTGAAACAATTTCACACCCAGTTGCCTGACAGCTTCTCTATGCCCAACAGTTCATGAATTATAAACCCAATGTGTTCCCTAGATATGTCTAGTATTTCAGCAATCCTTCGGACTTATAATCATGGTCCATCCATTATTAAGCCATTAATATGGTCAACAATTTCAGGAGCTAACACTATTCAAGGTCTCTCGGACAATTGGGTCTGAAAAATCTCCATGACACAGTTGGGTATGACAGGCACTTGTCACCCAATGTTTGCATCATGCACGCTGGAATTTCATTTGATGTTCTCTTCTGCAAGAACAGGAATCTCATGACAGTTCTGAGTTCCACATTTGAATATTACACACTTTCTGCTGACATTATTCACTCAATGATCTGAAAGAAATTCAGAAATCATCACAAATTGGCACTTTAGAATTTAAAAGAACATGAAACCCAGAACAATCACCAATCATGTGCGGAGATTTGGTAATGCCCAAGGTCAATTTCTTGATTGCATCTTACTAAGACTCAAGTAGGGAGCCTTTAGTAATTAGTACTAAGAAAGGAAGACATTTTAAATATGTAAAAAAGGATGAACGATGAAATAAACAATTACTTTCAAGAACTAAATTTTTATTTCACTCTTTAATTGCATGACCTCCTAATATGGATGCTGGGGCTGTTGTTATCTCTGCCCCACCCTAACCTTCTGCACACTACTGCTAATCATGATGACAGATGTTCCCTCAAATAGATTCAGTGCCTAGAGTGCCTATTGGGACAAACTCAGCACAGACCTTAAGTGGAACTTGTATATACAATGCATTGCTAACGGTGCTGCAAAAATGGCCAGTTCCTTGTACTGCACCAGCAAGTATTTTACAAGAGCCACTTCAGACTGAACATAGAGTAGTGCTGTCATATATGGGCAGGAGCTTTCAAGTCTTTGCTTTGAAATCTTGATATCTCAGTCTTTCCATATCTATCTATATGTCTATATCAGTCTTACCATATCTATCTATATGTCTGTATCAGTCTCACCATATCTATCTATCAGTCACAGTCTCACCATATCTATCTATCAATCACAGTCTCACCATATCTATCTATCAGTCTCAGTCTCACCATATCTATCTATCAATCTCAGTCTCACCATATCTAACTATCTATCTCAGTCTCACCATATCTATCTACCTCAGTCTCACCTTATCTATCTGCCTGTCTGAGTCTCACCATATCTATCTATATATCTACCTATCTCAGTCTCACCATATCTATCTGCCTGTCTGAGTCTCACCATATCTATCTATCTCAGTCTCACCATATCTCATCTCATCTTATCTATCTGTCATCCCTCACCATATCTATCTATATATCTACCTATCTCAGTCTCACCATATCTATCTGCCTGTCTGAGTCTCACCATATCTATCTATCTCAGTCTCACCCTATCTATCTATCTATCTATCTATCTCAGTCTCACCCTATCTATCTATCTATCTATCTATCTATCTATCTCAGTCTCACCCTATCTATCTATCTATCTATCTATCTCAGTCTCACCCTATCTATCTATCTATCTATCTCAGTCTCACCCTATCTATCTATCTATCTATCTATCTATCTATCTATCTCAGTCTCTATCTATCTATCTATCTCAGTCTCTATCTATCTATCTCAGTCTCACCCTATCTATCTATCTCAGTCTCACCCTATCTATCTCTCTATCTATGTATCTCAGTCTCACCATATCTCTCTATCTATCTATGTATCTCAGTCTCTATCAATCTATCTATCCATATATCTCAGTATCACCATATCTCTCTATCTCAGTCTCACCCTATCTATCTATCTCAGTATCACCATATCTATCTATCTATCTCAGTATCTATCTATCTATCTATCTATCTATCTCAGTCTCACCATATCTATCTATCTCAGTCTCACTATATCTATCTATCTATCTATCTATCTGCAATAAGAACACTTGCACCCACCTCACACATATTTCAACTCCCACCATTAGCTGATAAAGTCAAGTGTGGGTGGATATTTGCTCTGTATTTCCAGCTGTTGCTTGTCATACACACGAAATATTCCCCACCCACATAGACACTAAGATGTAGAAATATCTTCATCGATATTTCAATATTTCAACACCTCTACTCTGAGGATTCATTATTTATCAAATAGGCCATAAAGGATTTCATATTAATCCCTTAAGCAGAAGGTGAAGAAATGGGGGAGGAGGAGGATAAGTGGTAAGAGAAAGAAAGAAAGAGCAAAAGATACAAGAAAGAAATGAAAAAGAAAGGTGAAAAAAATAAAAAAGAAAAAGAAGGGGAAGAAGTGAATTAAAAAAGAGATAAATAAATAAAAGGAATAAACATTAAAGCTGAAAAAAGAAAAAGGGGAAAATTTTCATGAAAGAAAGAGAACGAATGTAAAAAAACGGAAGCGAAGAAAGAAATGAAAGAGATTTTTCTTAAAAAAAAACTAAATAGAAAAAAAATAAAGGAAAAAGAAAGGAAAACTTGAGAGAAGAAAGCTAGAAAAGATTAAAAAAATGAAAAGAAAAGAGAAAAATATCAATGAAAACAAAGAAAAAAGAATATAATAAAAGAAAGAAAGAAAGAGCTTTCAAGTAAAAAAAAAGATAATAAAACTAAAAAAGTTTCTCTTATATAAATATATAAATGAAAACAATCACACAATTAAAAAAGATAAAAGAAAACTGAAAAGAAAGATTGCTTTTTAAAAGAAAGAAAAAATGTAATGTGCCTATAATCTAACAGAAGATAAAACTGTAAAGAAAGATTGCTTTTTAAAAGAAAGAAAAAAATGTAATGTGCCTATAATCTAACAGAAGATAAAACTGTAAAGAAAGATTGCTTTTTAAAAGAAAGAAAAAAATGTAATGTGCCTATAATCTAACAGAAGATAAAACTGTAAAGAAAGATTGCTTTTAAAAAGAAAGAAAAAAATGTAATGTGCCTATAATCTAACAGAAGATAAAACTGTAAAGAAAGATTGCTTTTTTTAAAAGAAAGAAAAAAAATGTAATGTGCCTATAATCTAACAGAAGATAAAACTGTAAAAAGAAAAGATTGCTTTTTAAAAGAAAGAAAAAAATGTAATGTGCCTATAATCTAACAGAAGATAAAACTGTAAAAAAGAAAGATTGCTTTTTAAAAGAAAGAAAAAAATGTAATGTGCCTATAATCTAACAGAAGATAAAACTGTAAAGAAAAGATTGCTTTTAAAAAAAGAAAAAAAAATGTAATGTGCCTATAATCTAACAGAAGATAAAACTGTAAAGAAAGATTGCTTTTAAAAAGAAAGAAAAAATGTAATGTGCCTATAATCTAACAGAAGATAAAACTGTAAAGAAAGATTGCTATTAAAATAAAGAACAAAATGTAATATGCCTATAATCTAACAGAAGATAAAACTGTAAAGAAAGATTGCTTTTAAAAAGAAAGAAAAAAATGTAATGTGCCTATAATCTAACAGAAGATAAAACTGTAAAGAAAGATTGCTTTTAAAAAGAAAGAAAAAAATGTAATATGCCTATAATCTAACAGAAGATAAAACTGTAAAGAAAGATTGCTTTTAAAAAGAAAGAAAAAAATGTAATGTGCCTATAATCTAACAGAAGATAAAACTGGAAAGAAAGATTTATCTAGAATAAAGAAAAAAGATCTCATTTAAATTAAAGAAAACTGTATTTAGCATCTTGCATAAGAAAGTTATGTATGTTTCACAGGTTGGGGAGAAAAAAAAACCCAGATAAATGATTGGGAAGAAGGGAAAAAGTATAATGAAAGAAGGATAAAGAGGAACATGAAGAGAGAGAGAGAGAAAAAAATAAAATGGAGGCAGATGGAAGAGGTATAAAAAATGGGGTAAAGTTAATTCTGTCTGGAAAAGTTGAGAAGAAATGTATTGTTGGGGTGCACCCACCTTCTAACTAGTAATGGACTGGTCCCTCTTATATAAGTCAGCTCTGGAGAGAGAGTGACAGAGCGTCAGAGAGAGAGTCCAGATAAGCTTACCCGGTACATACCGTTGGACTATAGACTTTGGATATTGTTTCGTACTAACCAACCTTCGTTCTACTAATCACTCTATTGTTAATTGCTTTTATGAATATACCAGTATTTTCCTCTACAACTGTGTTTGTCTTAATTCATACACCGACACGCGGGAAACTCACAACATCTCAACATGTATGGAAATATGAGGTGAAAAAAAAATAACAGAAACATTGTAGGAAATACTCAAAAAATTGTTGGTATGTAGAGAGGAAGAGAAAAATGAAGGAAATGGGAGTTGTTGAAGGAGGAGATAGAGAGGATGACTAGGGAATGAAAGAAAGAAAAAACGTCTACAGGAGGAGGAAGAAAGAGAGAAGATAAATAGGCAAAGAAAAAGTGTCTACAGGAGGAGGAAAAAGGAGATAGAGAGGACGAAAAGGTAAAGAAAATGTATCAACAAGAGGAAAGAGATAGAGAAGGCGAAGAAAGAAAACGTATCAACAACAGGAGGAGGGAGAAGATGAAAAGGTGAAGAAAGAAAATGTATCAACAGGAGGGGGAAGAAGATAGAGATGATGAAAAGGCAAAGATAGAGAACGTATTAACAAGAGGAGGAGGAAGAAAATTGAGAAGACAAATAGGCAGAGAAAAAATGTCTACAGGAGGAAGAAGAAAATAGATAAGAGGAAAAAGCAAAGATAGAAAATGTATCAACAACAGGAGGAGGAAGAAGAAGAAGAGAGAGATGAAAAGGCAAACATAGAAAACGCATTAACAAGCGAGGGAGAAGGAGGAAGGAAATAGAGAAGACAAATAGGCAGAGAAAGAAAAAAGTATCGATAAGTGGAGAACGAAGGATTGATTGAGCGATTTGTTTAATGGCATATCAACTCCTTCTGGATCATTTAATGCTAAAATTTAATTTTCTTAGGAGCTTTAAAATAATAAAAATATGTTATTCTCCTTTCACAGTTGAATACATGGTAGATGGTGTTACGGTTTTTTGGGTATATATTACCTATAACTAGTGAGTGAGTCAGAATGACTTATTTCCCTTTATAATCGACCAATGGAAGGTTGACCAATCAGAAGCCACCCAACACTGTATTCGTCGTGTATAAAGGCGGCCATCTTGTTTCGTCTACCGGAAGGACCAAAGGCGACCAGGAGAAGGATGAACTACACTCTGCTGTGATATCCACTGCAAACCTAAAGTACGCTTTCCTACTGTCTCCGAAATATTCACTGCTAACCTCTAGATTCAATACTCAAGGACGACCGTCATGGAAATGTCTAACAGATAGTACTTAGTTTTATATGTTTGTGGAGACATAATTCCATGAAGCGGTGATATGTGTATTTTATGTTGTAGCTTTGTTAAATTTTTTAATACATTTTGATTTCTTTAAGAAATTATAGGATATTTTATTGATTTAATATCATAGAAGATTTCTTTCATGTTGTTTTGGTTTAATTTCTTTAGCAGCATATCAACCTCTATGAGTTATTTAATATCAAAATTCAAATATTTTGAACACAATGTCATGCCTTCCACTACAGATAAAATGTATTATTGGCCATTTTGCTAAAATATGTATTGTTGGTAATTTTATTATAAATATATGCATTTTTATACTTTCATCAGATTTTGTTTTTGTCTGGGGGTTTCACTATTTGCCCATAGCTAGGATCCTAACAGGTGCTACTACCCTAGGCCCTGGGAACAATGGCAATTAAGAAGTGGTTCCCTGGTCCTCAAAACCTCCAATCTCTCGATCAGATGTCTTACTGATGGATGTAGTTTATTGTCATACCCAGAACTGTTGTTAGAACTTTTAATATAAAGCGTAAAATAAGGGATAGTCTTTGGGTGACAGGTCTGAAGAATAGAATACATGCAGCAGAATTTCCTACCCTAACTTTATAAGCCTTTGCTGTGCTGTATTTGCAACAAGAGGGGAAAAAAATCACTGGTTAATTTCGATATGCAGAATTTTTTTTTTTTTTTTTCCACTGCCTCTTTCAACATGCTTGTCTTTTTTGCCAATAATTTTTAATGAATTCCTAATGACTCTCATCAAACACACAAAATTTTATCTCCATACATTACTTTTAGATTTTGATATCTTAAATTTTATCTGTCTATATTTCTGAGATGCGGTATTATGTACAGTATTTTGCATCATTTGGACTATTGTCCTCATCTTTGTCACCATATTTATTACAACGTTTCAGCTGTTGTACACTCTGGCCTTCTTCAGGTGGTTGGAATGTCGAACTGAACATCTGTCTATCTTTCTGAGATGAGGTATTATGTACATTATTTAGACTATTGTCCTCATCTTTGTTGCCATATCCGATCTTTCAGTATCTCTCTAGGTTTCTGAGATGAGGTATTATGTACACTATTTACATTATTCGGACTATTGTCCTCATCTTTGTTACCATATTTATCTGATCTTTCTCCGGCCTTCTTCAGGTGGTCGAACTGAACCCTTAATTTCACTCACTGGACACGTGGCACAGTGGATAAAGGCATTAGTTAGATCCAGTGACAGGACCCAAAGAGTGTGAGTTCAGTACCCAGTTAAGACAGTGGAGAACTTTCAGAGGGAAATTAACACAAGATAACTGACATCCATTAAAACATGTCACGTGGAACTAGAACAGTCTACCCCAGTGAGCGAAATAAAGGGTTCAGTTCAACATTCCAACCAAAACATTGTAATAAATATAGCGACAATTAAATTTTATATCAGCAAATTTCTTCATTAAAGTCATTAATTATCACTCAACTATTTTGACAAAAAGTAACCGTTTTTCTCTATCAAACAAGAAAAGAAAGATAAAAATATTATCTAAGAGAACCCTTTCTGTTTTCTATCAGTATAACCTCCAGGAGAGTGAGTAACTGTGCCTTCTTTTCTTTTGACACAAAGTGGAA